CTGTTCATTGCACTCAAGGTGCTCGACAAAATGCCCAGCCCAGCTAGAGCAGCCCAATCACCACCCAATCTTGTGCAAAGTCTTGAATTGATCCTAGGGGACCACATCCCACTCAAAAACTGTGGTTTAGTTGGCCTTCTCCTCCCCCTTGCGCGCGCCGTCCTGGCGTCCAACTTTGTCGCGCGCCGAGCCGCCGCGCGTCGGTCTCCGGATCGATCGCGCGTGCCCGACCGCCTTGGCGTGCCGCTAGCCATTCGACGCCCTTAGACCACCACCGCCGCACCAATCACGACGACGACGAAGCTAGGACGACCACCGCCGCAAGAAATCACCGCTCGACATCGTGCGCGCCCGTCCAAAGCTGCCACCGAGTACGATTTCGCTTCTACCCCGGGTGAATCGTGCCAATTCTTGCCGCACAATTGGATTAAAGTTAGACGGTGGTTTCCCCTCTCACAATTTAAACCATTCACCCCCAAGTCGGTTGTTTTCACCCTCGTCGCCGCCGCGCGTCGCGCCCGGATTGGCGCCAACACATCGCCAGCCGAATTCGCACGCGGTTAAGTCAATCCTTCGCCGGTAAGTATTCAAACGTGGCCTCCCGCCACTCAAATTGATCTTGCCCGCCCTCTCACAGCCTCTGCCACCCTAGCCATATCCAAAGCTCGAGCTCATCCATGGCGATGACGGTGCCCAAGCTCATCCATTCCTCCTAGCCCTATAAATAGGACCCCAATCCCTTCCATGTCCATCATCGATCATCAACAACCATAACCCCACAACCCGAAGCTCTGCTTCACCAATCCATCCCATCAACCATCATCACCCGTCGGTCGAACACCTTGTGCGCGATCGACTCCACACCTCTCCCTCCATCCTCCGCCCTAAATATCTCTTAGAACACTTTATATCAACCATGTTCTAGTATAGTAGACCCTAACCAAAGTCCTGCGTCGAGTTCTACCTCGCCGCGCCAAGCCAAGCACCGCCACCCCCGCGCTGCTCTGTTCTTTGCCGCCGCGAAGTTTTTCCGGCCGCAATCCTTCATCTCGACATAACTCGGTGAGTTCTTCCGTTTCAACCATCTACATACTACCTAGATTCCATTTTAGCAATCCCTTTGCACTATCATGCCACCCTCTGAGCTGCCGACGTGAGCACGGTCGCTGCCTATGGAGGCGCTCGTCGGCAACTATTCTCCGCACCTTGCCAAAGGTCGGCAAGCTGCCGGAATCCCTCTAGACACCTCGTAAATGCTCTAGAACCCCTCCCCTAGCCATGTCTAACTCATATTACTTCGATCACCAACACGGCCTAACCGTGCCACCGCCGTCCTAGCCGCCAACCCATCCACATATCAAATTAATCCCTCCGCCGCCGCTCGCCGTCGCCGCAGATCCCTAGCTCCCTCCCCTCCTCGGCCGCAACCACTTTCTCCCTCTAGCGCCACCGTAATCCCAAACCCTAGAGCCGCCGGCCCGATTTGGGGAACGGTCGAAGGTAGAAGAAAAGAAGAGAGAGAGAGAGAGACTGACAGGTGGGACCCGCACACAGTAACATTTCACTTTTATTTGATTTTCAAACTTTAGAAGCCCATATCTTTTAAAATATAGATCCAATTCCAGTGAAACTTGGACCAATATTCTTCTAAAATCATTCTCTATCTTTTGAGCCCCCTTTTGCTATTTTTGCATTTTATTTTATTTTCTCTATTTTTCATATTTTTGGATTTTATTTGAATTCCTTTTAAATTTGAATTTTATATATGTCTAACCCTAGGTCTTGAGGATTCTTCTGACTCAATAGATAATATCAATCAATCTCAGGATATCGAGCAAGGCAAGTTACCATATACCTGTTGATCATTTAAGCCTATATTTTACAAATTATTTATTTATAGCCTTCTATTCAATACTCTATTTTATATGCACAACTCAACCATAGAAACCCAGATAATTTAGTATTGCTTACTTTGCTTACAATCTGGTTAAAATACCTTATACTTAGATTGGGATAGTACGTAAGATTTGGTTGATTTCCGGGTGGCTAGTACTGTCTCGATCGATATAAGTTTTACCAGGTACTTATGTCGAACGAACGGGTACGACCGCAGTTTCTAGAATGGAGACAGACCTAGTTATTATGTTAATTAGCAATATGGCACCTCTGTATAGTGGTTCTTATTTTTAAGTCCTCGCGCAGGAGGCAACTATAGCCGCAAAGGGCAACTTTAACCATTACCATATACAGGTAAATGGTTTGTGATACTCGAGTATAAACTATATGGTATATTTCTAAACCCTGATCGAGATGATGTGGTGTCATACGATCAGTTCCCCTTAAATATCTCGGGAACGCCAGAACTCCTCTTGCTGCTGTTAACAATACGTTCAGAGCATATGAGGATATAAGTTCATGGAACAGGTGCCACAATTGTTAATGACTTAATACTGGGCCATGACTAAAGCCGATGATTATCAGCAAGTCGTGGACTGCGGGTAAAGCGTACATCTGCTGCAGTAGAATATCTTTGAAACTATTCGAATAGTTGTACTCATGGAGTTGAGTACCGGGACTCATATGGTACCCTGGTTAGAAATCTAAAGTCTATAAGTTTTACAAATTCTTGCTATAACTCTTCCAGATTGTTTATTACTGCTTTTTGCAAAGAACCCTACTATATGTCAATGCATAACATATTTCCATGATAACTTGCTGAGTATTGTAAATACTCACCCTTGCTCTTATAACTCCTTTTTCAGATCTGGGTCAAGAGGAGGACCCTTATGACTATTACTACGATGACCCCGATAACTTAGAGAATCCCTAAAGGTTATACCTCACTAGTCAGAATGTATAGAAACTTCCGCTGTGTATTAAATAGTTAGGTGAGTACCTATTATTGTTAAACCCTTAGTATTGTAAAACTTTAACGTATGCAATGAAGAACCAGTTATATTGTATGTATCAATATCTACTGATCCAGGGATTAATACATTAATTCTAGTCGGATCCAAGTTGTTAGTTTTGGGACCCGACACCCCTTTCTCTCTTCTCCCGTAGGCGGCGTCGGCTTGCTCGGCGGCGGAGGGAGTCGGCGAGGAGACATCCGGTGAAGCTGAGCGCGTTCTTGGTCTCATCATAGCCGTCGGCGATGTAAACGACACCGTTGCTCCCGGCGCAGCCAAAGAATCCCCGGGAGTTCGGCGTCGGCGCGCCGCCACACTCCCGATGGAGATGCAGAGTCCAGCCCTCCTCTTCTACCTTCAATCTCCTGATGGAGAGGTCGAGCAGGGAGTGTGGCGCGGCGTGGTGCGGCTTCGTCTCGCAAGCTCCGGCGGCGAGTGGCGCGACGACTGCTTGGGGAAACGAATCCCCCAGCCTGATGGCGTCTTGACGACCCTCCTCGGTCGAGCCTTGAACAACGACAGCAATAGCAGGAACAACTTGGCGGCCGCAGGGTACTCCGGGTCGATGTCGGCGGCACGACCTAGCATATGCATCGAAGTTGGGAGGCATGCGTGATTTTAGAGACATTTTTGGGATGACACATGTGCAGGGAATCGGCTTGGAGCCCACTGGAGAAGGAATAATCAACGGCAGAGGCAGATACCGGTGCCGGGGAAGAAGGTGCCAACCCAACCCATGGGCGAGTCCACTTACATTTACCACCGCACTTACACTTTTGTCCTCGCTTCATGTAAGAGGGTTAACCCATGAGTGACATGGTTGGAGAGAGAAAGCCTTACAAATTGGTTCCACCTTTACTAAACTAGTAAACTAGTAAGATGGTACTAAACATGTGCACATAGCTCAGATGGGCCACACATGCCAAATCCTAATTGGGCCAGGATGTCACAGAGAGTGTTTTCCCCAAAAACAACTTCGTGCGGTGTCCTGGAGCTAAAACCACGAAGTCACAATGTCCTGTAGCAAAATTTGCCTTGTTTTTTTCTTTCACTTTTGTTTTTCATGTAGTATGAGAAAAGAAAATAAAACCTTTGATAGATTGTAAATAACATTGATGGAGTAACTAATGAGAATTAATCATGCATAAGATGTAAAAGTTACTTCCTTATAACATCGAAGTTACTTCCTAACATGTAATAAATTACTTTTAAATTAATGAAATGTCACTCATGGGTTTTATCACATATTTTGAGTGGAGTACAATGATGCAAATAGATCTTAAAAACAATATGTGATTTAAAATATATAAGTTAGACACATACTATTGTAACTTTTAAGTTGAGGGGGATTTGTACTAGATGGAGTGGTCGCTGGATAAGACAAATCAGCGACTGGTAGCTGTCTAGTCACGTCCATATTTTAGATAATAATTGCTAGTTGGTGATGATGTGTTACAATTGCATATTAAGTTTTAGAAGTTAGTGGACATCAAGTAGGGGGGATATCTAGTGAAAACCATCAAATAAGTGAAAACCCATGAAAACCATATCTAAAAGTCTTGTAAATTCATGATACAATTACTAGAGATTGGTATAGGCATGAAATACATTCATAGCAAATCTCATGTCTAAACTCAAAATCATTTGAGAAAAAAAGACAAAGTTTGGGTGAATAGTATTATGTTACTATTCATCTAACATTTGTCTTTTTTTTTTCTCTCAAATGAAGTTGAGTTTGGAATTGGGATTTGGTATGAATGTATTTCATACCTATACCTATCTCTAGTAATTGTACAAAACTTTTAGATATGATTTTCACGGATTTTCACTTATTCGATGGTTTTAACCGGATATGTCCCCCACTCCGCCATCAAGTATTCAAGTATAGTAAGACTGGCCATCTGGCCTACAGAGGCCCAAACGGACGGCAAATGGATGCAATTTTGATGGCCTTTCTCTAATTTCCTTATTTTCTAGTGTGCATTATTGCAATTCTTTTCCTGTCCCAAAAAAGAAAAATGATAACGACGTGATCTGCGCATCGGACGGCCAGGATCACTCTCCTCTCTTCTTCCCCTCTCCCCTGCTCTTCTCTCTCTCCTCTCCTCTCCTACCATGGAGCCCGACGCCTCCTCCGCCGCCGCCGCCCAAAACCCTAACCCTAACCCTAGCACGGGGCTGCCGCCCATCTCCGCCTACTACCAGACGCGCGCGGAGCACCACGCCGTCGTCTCCAGCGACTGGCTCGCGCACGCCGCCGCCGCGGCCTCGCTCCCTCCCTCCTCCGATGCCGCCGACGCGGACGCCGCCTCCGACGCCGCGGCGCTGCTCTCCCCCGGGAGCAACGGCGGCGGCGGCGGGGTGATCGAGGAGTTCAACTTCTGGCGCCGCAAGCCCGAGGCCGCGGAGGCCGTGGCGGCCATCATGGCGCTCGCCGCCGTCATCCGCTCCAGCAGGGCCACCACCATGATGGAGCTCGAGATCGAGCTCAAGAAGGCATCCGACAAGCTCAAGGTACCCCCACCTACTAACCGATTATAGAATGTTAACAGCGTTCATACAAGGGTGCACGGATTCGTGGATTAGTTACCGGCTCCGCAATTTTGCCCACCTTGAGAGAAATAGTTGTCCAGTTAACGAGTTAAGACAGTACAATGAATTCAATTCCTTTTTGTCAGCATTTCAGAACTTCAGTTGTGCCAGTGTTTTACACCTTCACTTAATCACAGCTGTAATCAAGAATTTGCTTGAAGAAATGAATCTTTATTCTCCACTGTTTGTTATGGAGCTTAAGGAATTTCATTTCTACCTTTTGTTAGTAAAACTACCATTAGTCCCACATAATATTTGGTCTACGAAGGCTAAATGTTTGATGGCTAATCTCATTCACGAATGCAATGGTGGTCACGCTGTGTCTACTTTGTATTTATGCGATATGTTAGTTACAATGATTTAATCTCAGTAAGAGCTTATGTAATTTAATTGTTAAATCAACCACTATAATTTCATTTTTGAGCTGTGGGCATTTTAGATCATTTTCTTCTAGCACCCCCTTGTTAGTTTTGAATTTTTGCTGATCTCATATGAATGCCAAATGATTGTTATTTACTTCTAGTTGCTCCACATTTCTTTATGGCATCCTTTGTGTTGTTCTGACTAAAGAGTTAACACCTAAAAAATTTTCTATGTTTCAGTCTTGGGATGCCACTTCCATTTCTTTGTCTGCCGCATGTGATTTGTTCATGCGGTTTGTAACAAGAACATCACATTTGGAGCATGAGAAGTTTGATGCTGCAAAATCACGCCTAATTGAGAGGGGAGAAAAATTTGGAGAGATATCCTTAAAGGTTATCTAGAATTATAATATAGTTTTTTTTATATAAATGAGACTTTCCACCTTTAGCTAATTTCGTGGAACAATGTTTGTGCAGGCTCGTAAGACAATTGCAATGCTCAGCCAGGATTTTATTTCAGATGGTTGTACTATTCTGGTACATGGTTATTCCAGAGTTGTTTTGGAAGTTCTAAAGCTAGCTGCATCAAACCGCAAACTCTTCAGGGTACTTTGCACAGGTAAATTGATCAAGTTGCATTTGAAACTGCATCTACATTTTCAAATTTTATCAAAGATGCAACAACATTATTCTACACAGACAGCTTGGTGATGGTGAACTATATATTAGTTGCATGCAAATGCTGTATTCAACAAAATGTACCTTTTCTAGCAGGAAAATAACCATACAACTTAACAATCATGAGTTCATGACTGAGAGTACTGGAATATAAAAGATGAGAGTGATCCAGGGTTTAAACACATCATGGCACAGTTTCACACAATGCCTATGTATTGCTGCGGAATTCGATAGGACTTCCATGAATGAGTGGAAAAACTTGTGTGCTAAGTTGAATTCATACCAGAGGGAAGATAAGTCCTTTATATTTGTAACAATTAAGCAAAATTTTTGTCCATGATTCACAGGTAACAAGGTTGAATTGTTATGATTTTTTGATATTGTATGCCATTCTTGCTTTTGGAATCAATATGTGTAATAGCCTTTTGTCCACCTGTTACTGTATTGATTCTTTCAAACCACGCATCATTGACTCTTCTGATTTCTAATGAGTGTTTGCTACTCTACTGAACTGCAGAGGGCAGGCCGGACAGAACTGGTTTACGAATGTCAAATGAACTGGCAGCATTAGGCATTCCTGTTAAGGTGCTAATTGATTCAGCTGTTGCTTATTCCATGGATGAAGTTGACATGGTGTTTGTTGGTGCTGATGGGGTTGTTGAAAGTGGAGGAATAATCAATATGATGGGCACTTATCAGATAGCTCTCGTCGCTCACAGTATGAACAAACCTGTTTATGTGGCTGCTGAAAGTTACAAGGTAATAACATTGCTTTTCTCATATTGTTGATCGATGAGCTCTTCCGTTGTTATGCTTGGTACTAGAAATATATAAGGTGGTACGCAGAAAAAATCTCCTAGAAATCAAATCTGGTCAAGAATATTTAAGACAGTTTCTAAATCGAATTCCATAACAACTAATGGCAGATGTGTGTCCGGCTGATTAATTGTTGTTTTCCCCTTTGGCATGCAACAAGTCTTTAATGATGTTGCTTCTGGCTGTTTTGTAGTTTGCACGCCTATATCCGTTGGACCAGAAGGACATGACACCAGCTCACCGACCCATTGATTTTGGAGTTCCAATTCCGGCTGGTGTGGAGGTTGAGACTTCAGCGAGAGACTACACTCCTCCCCAGTATCTTACGCTGCTTCTGACTGATCTCGGTGTTCTGACACCATCTGTTGTGAGCGATGAGCTTATCCAACTATACCTATGATCACTGGTACGGAGATATGATGTACCGATGTACCGCCGTGGAATCTAAGGTTTTCCCTGTCAGTTTTTTGCTATGTTGTATTTGCCCTTTACGTGGATGCAATGTTTGGAGGATTCACAAAAGGGTTATGCAACAGAAGATAACCCCAGTTTTGTCTAAAGCATCTATCTGGTGTTAATAGTTTTGGTGTTGGTTGCGAAGATGGTCTGGATTGCATTTTGCAATCTTCTCTCTGGCTTGCTATGGATTTGGATGTGTTAAGCTGACATCTTATAACCTACATTTCTCTTAAGTTGCTCTAGTCCAACCCTTAAATCACATGATTAATCGTGCTCCAACAATGTATGCGTAAAAGCAACACCACAGGCTTTTGGTTGGTGTATAATTCTTATACTGTCTTTGCATCCCCATTACGAATATGTAGACTTGCAAATTCAAACCTGTTAGCATATATAATGTAAACGAAAACTGTTTGAAACTCTGAATACAACTTTTGCTAACCGATACAATGTGACGTTAGAACATCCTAGCATGCGTTAAACTACATTTACAAACGGTAAGAAAACAAGGACCAGCTAAATAAAACTATCTACACTAATTCTGGCTCGTCTAACATCAACAGTGAACAACAACATCGCTGGTGCCAAGCCAAAATTGTGGCGACTTGCTGTACACCCCCGCTGAAACACAAGAGCAATGTCAATGAAGAAACCATGGGTACTTCCATCCAGGATTCCAGGGCGCTATCGCAGGTGGTGGTTGAACAGGATGGCCTACATCAATCCAAGCGTCCACCACACTGGGATTGCAAACAGCAGGCTGTAGATAGACTGCAAACTCATGCTGTATCCTGAAGGCGATTTTTGGGATTTTCAGTCCTTAACATCTGTGACGCCTTCCGGTGATATCTGAAACCTCGCCTCAGCTTCAGCAAGACAGGGAGAGCTTACTACCTTACATATCCGCTCCTCCGCTCTTCCCTTTCGAAGAAAAAGCCTGATACATATGCACCATCAAACATGTTATAGAGAAAAATATGAGGAATTGAACAGAAGCACTGGCACTCCGGCAGAAATTTGAATTTGATGTTGTAGAGAAAAATATGAGGAATTGAACTGAGGCATGGCAGAGAGATGTCTGATTTCCTTGATAAAGCACCTTGTTGTGGAAGCATGAGCCATGATGTTCCCGCCGATAGGTTTGATCTGTGGCCCAAACATTGCAGCACCATCCACTTGCGCCACAACTTGATTCGTGATTACCACCGCCACGCCAAACTAGAGCAAGCAAATCAAACTGAATCAGTATGGTGAACATGTAAGAGAGTAATATCCTGCAAATTAATTAGCAAGAAGCTACCTTGAAACACTAGTTTTGTCATTTGGCATGATAAATGTATCAAAGTCAATAAATAGCTAAATAACATATATTCCATGATTTTGTCAACACATACTAATGTACCTCATCCGCTAACTTCTGAAGGCTCCTAAGAAACTTGGCCAGGTGCATTTGCCTTGCTGACAGCTCCCCTCTACCAGAGAAATCTGTTCTGTATAAGGCTGTTGCACTATCTACAATCATAATAGCAAACCTGCAAAAATATGCATCCAGTTCAGAGAGACTGGGGCCTAGGGGACTTGATAGCCAATATTACATGCATGGATTCGAACTGGAGTACATAATTAAATCAAATATACTATAGCTTTAGCTGTTCTCACTATTAAACTATATATTTCAGAGAACATAGGTTAATTTGTAAAAGAATGAACTTGCCTTGTCTCCACCATCATGGAAGCTGCTTCCAGTAAAAGTCTTGATTGATGATCAGTATTATATGCTCTTGCATAAGCTACATTCTCAAGTACATCAGCACCATTCAACCCAAACCTGAAGTTTAGAATTATCTTGTTTAGCAGGTCAATCTTTAGCACAACATATGTAACATAATATCCATGACTACCTGTCTGCTATCTGGAGGAGTCTTTGTGGTCTGAATGTGCCCTCTGCATCAATATACAAAGCTTTTCCCTCACCACCACCTTGGTCCAATGGGAGCTGCAATATAAATCACTAATGAATTTGTAAAGTTTGAAGTGGAATAGACAAGAAATGAGAGAAAGGTGCCCAATGCAGTCAACAGTATATAAATCTAACGGTTAAGTAAAAAAGAACTTAGGCATTCTTTTCATCAAACGATGAGCATGACTGTTTTGATAGTCGCAACGAATGAAGTAGTGGTACCTGACATGTAACACACAGAGTGTGGCACAACTGAGTCTTCCCTGAGCGAAATTCACCATATATCTCTGTAATGGACCCAGTTTCTATTCCACCTGTTGAATAATGAAAACAAAATTACACTGCGTGTTTCTAAATCACATTACATCATAACAATGAGTTTGGTGCTGTCAGATACTCTGTAATAAATGAAGGCACCAAGAGGCTACCATCCAAGATTTTATCAAGTTCCCTTGATCCAGTTGTAACTTGGATAATCTCAAGTCTCTGTGCATGAAGTTGGCTGGCACTTGTAAATCCCAGTGGAACCAGCTTCGAAGCTGCCAGACATTTGTGAACACTTAGTACTTCACATATAAAAGATTGTTCTGATGCAAGAAGAAATGCATTACTGTGTTCCCTTCAATTTACGAACAATTACTTGCCTCCTTCAATTATCTTATCGACTTTGGCTTCACTAATCCCTTTAATTTGCAGAAGGTCTTTCCTTGGTGAGTAGACCACAGACTCCACCGTGCAGAGACCAGCATCTTTGAGCTTTTTCACATCAAGTGCAGCTATACCAGATGCCTTCACAGCAAAGTTCACAAGAAAATTTCATTTACAATTCAGCTCTACAGTGTTTACCTGAACATGAAGATTTTCTAATCCGTATTCTGATTTTATCAGAAAGAAAAAGGTAACCGCACAACCCTCTTTTCTCAGGGAAATAGCAGTCTATCAGCTAAGAGTTTTATCATCTTAGTAACTAAACTGCTTCAAAGGATGCGTTAATTCTCTCATTTAGTCAATAATATTACAGAAATGCTACAGCTCACCGATGAATCACAGGTTCCTCATATCTGCATAAATTCATACAAGATAACGGTGTATCTTCAATCATTTCACGCACGCGGCAGTCAAGAAATGAGGGTTTACTTCGACGGACCAAGAACACAGAAAGGGGAATTCCCAAAATTGGGAGGAAAACCCCAGCACAATGCAACACCAAATCGATCAAAACATCGACCAATCTCTCGAAATCTACGCCACCCCCACTGCAGAATAGCATCAAGAACCTAGGGTTTGACGGCTAAATCATCAAGAACCCATCAAACCAAGCGCAGAAGAGAAAATCAAGAAGCGGGTAGGTAGGAGCGGATCGAGAGGACGGAGGGAGGCGGAGAGAGAACCGGACCGCACCTGGAGCTGCTCGATGGGGAACGGCCCGTGCTCCCCGCCCGCCGCCGCCTCCTCCGCCGTCGCCGCCGCCGCCGCAGCCGCACCCGACGACGACATGGGGCCCCACTTGCAGCCACAGAGAGAGGCAATGGGGGGGGGGGGGGTTGGATTTTGGGTTCAAAATGGAAGAAGGCGCCAAGCTTTTATTGAGGCCACGCGCCCTCTCTTCCTCCCTTTCCTTCCAGTGGAAGACTCGACTGAGAAAATACAAATTAGAAATACACCAGGGGGGAAAGTGAAAAATCACCAACCACGCGCGGGGCTTTGTGACACTGCCACGTGGGACCCACAGCACCGTGACATGGCACGTATCCTCAAGCAGAAAAGGAAAGGGGTCAGCTTCATCGTTTGTTATATCGAAGAAAAAAGTGAAATGATATATTTGAAATGAAAAATAATTTGTGAATAAAATTTTTATATATATTATTCTTAACGATATAAAAATAAAGGCTGAAAAATAAATTTCGATGAAAAAATTCTAAAATTAAGTGCGAATTTAAAGTTGAAAAATTAAATTTTAGCTGATAAGCATAAACCTAAGAAAAAGACGAGGCCGTGTGTTTTTTTTTTTGCGTGAGGTTTTGTTTAGATTCACTGACAAGGGATTGCAAGGGTTCTGTACGGCCATTCATAGTGCGCCACCAAAATTTGGTGTTCCTCACATGCCACCTAGTTCAAGAACACTATCAGCCACAAATTCCACAGTGCAAACTCCACAGGACCACAATACAAATAGCTTAGTAGGTCCCACCAATACCAATTTTCACTTTTTCACTTTTCTCTCTCCTCTCTCCCCTATCTCTCTCTCCCATTTCCCCACTGCAGAGAGCCGAATGGAGGGGATCCAAGCGCGGCGTCGAGCCATGCGACGGCTGCCTGCTCACCCCACCGCCGGCGCCCCTCATCTCCTCCTCCGACAAGCGGCCCCCTAGCCGGCGCGCGGACAAGCTCCGTGGCGACCACCACTCCTCTCCTCCTCCTCGCGGCGATGACGGATCTCTGGCCTCCGTGTCGTGGCCTGAGCGGCGGGCGGCGATGGATCTCTGGCCTCCGCGTCGGCGTCGGGCGTCGGCGGCGGTGGCCGTCGTCGACGTCGGGCGGCGGTGGATCTCTGGCCTCCACGCCGTGGCCCGAATCAACGACGAGCTCCGGATCGAAGACAGGCGCGGCGTCGGCTCTCCCCCCTCCGCCGTCCCCTCCCCGCCTCCGGCCTCTCCCTCCGGCGTCCCCTCCCTATCTCCGGCCTCTCCCTCCACCGAGCTCTCCAGATCCGGCCCATGGCTCGTCGGATCTGGACTGCTGAGGCAACAAAGGGGAAGGTGGCGGTGGCTCGACGGCGATGACAGCACCTCCATGGTAGGCCCACGGCGGAGAGGAGAACGACGAGCAGGAGCGGCGACGAAGCCACGAAGCGTGAGGACACGACCTGCACAGTGCGGCCTCGTCGTTCTTCCCGCGTCGATGGCAGTTTTTCTGACGAGGTTCAAGTGCCCAATTTTGGCTACGCGAAGCTCTTTTGGTCACACTGCAAGCCAAGCTGGCGGAGAATCTTGGGTTTGCCACGGGTTGGCCGAATGCCACGCACTCGCACTGTGAATGGCCTAACAATTTCGATCAGGTAGGTAAAAGTTGCTATGTATACTAATGTGGTGTTCTTTGCATATGTTTGCGCTGATTCCTTTAGATCCGTTTGTACGAGGTGATATGCTAGGAATATAATGGCAGAGTTGTTTCTGGGAAAAAGAAAAAGTGCAGGTTGGTGTGTTCATATTTCTATGATCATGTTCGAATCCACTAAAAAGAGTGGATAAAATTTTGGATTAAAGTGGCATATTTTTCAAACTGCTGAACAGTACGTTTCGTGCAGGTTTTTAAATTTCGAAATCAACATTTCTGCCGCAGGTGGGCGATAGAACTGAATTTTTTTGACAGATTTTGAATAAATTTGAATAAAATTTGACCAAATTCACAAAAAATTGCAAAAAACCAAATTTTTTTGGGCGAGATGTGAGCATTTCGGTGGGGGGGGGGGCGAAATTTCAGAAATTTCGAACCGAAATTTCAAACCCTGGTTTCGTGCGAAAACTTTCTATATGAAAGTTGTTCTAAAATATCATATATATTAATTCATTTTTCAAGTTTGTAATATTTAAAACTTAATTAATCACACATTATTACCACCTCATTTTGCGTGAAACACTTAATCTTAATCTCCATCCTCATCTTCAATAAATTCAAACACCTCAATGAAATTTGTGGATTATTGAAATTTGACGGAGCTCAGATTTCATCTAGGTTATGTAGCTGGCGCCCTTTGCATTTCCTTGGTCATTATTATCTGCATTTTGCTTTTTAGTATATAAAATTGAGAATTGATTTTATACATGTGGGTGATGAGTTTTGGGGATTCTGGTGTGTTTGTTAGAGCGAGTACAATAGTAGGCTAGAAATCAGCTGTAAGCACACGTGGAGGAGAGAAGAGAAGAGAGAGAAAGCGGGCTATATATATTTGTAGCCAGCTTCAGTATGGACTCTAATACGTTGTGTGTGTATGGTGTAGTATATGCTTATAGGTAACTATTGTATGAGGCCATTCCTAACCCAAGACACTAGACATAGTTTTCATAAACTCCACATCATCAAGAAACTAGTACTAGACACTACTCTTCCAATGCAAACACCATAGTTTCATACTTAAATTTAAGAGTAAAGAGTACGGGCGGTCCTTAAACTTGTAGGGGTGTGTCATCTAGGTCCCTAAAACTCTCAAAATGCATATCCAAGTCCCAGAACTTGTCATAGTGTGTCATTTAGGTCCCAAATCGTCATAACCCCTTCATGATCCTATGTAACGTTGATGTGGCATGGCACACGGACATGACATGGTATTATTTTGACTAACAAATGGGACCCATTTAAATTTTTTCCTTTTTCTTTTTTTCTTCTCCTTTTCCCTTTTATTCTCCTTTCTCCATGACCCGAGCAGAAGAAAGGAAAAAAAGAAGAATAAGAAAAAAACAGAAAATAAAAAGAAAAAAAGAAAAAAAAAGAAAAGGACACGTCACGTCCATGTGACATGCCACATCAGCGCCACATTGGATCCTAGAGGGGATGTATCGATTTGGGATCTAAATGATACACTTTGACAAGTTGTAGGACCTGGATATGCATTTTGAGAGTTTAGGGACCTATATGACACAAACTTAAAAGATTAAGGACCGGTAATGCACTTTACTCTAAATTTAATGCTATTTATCTCACATGATATCTTGGATGTTGTGTAGAAACAATGTCTCACGCAAGACCTGGTTTACTTCTCTTTTCTCATTTATTTACTTGCCACATCATTTTTTATCCTAGGTGACAGCTTTTTTAGTACTATGGACACCATCCTAGCTATTGGATTGGGAATGGCCTGAATGATCGGTTAGATTGACTATAGGTGATTTAGGGCTAGTAGTTGGCTATACTATTAAACTTGCTCTTAGTAGATGGGCTCTACTGCAATTGGGTTGAAGACGATAGATGAGGTGGTTATTGTTGTGGAGAAACGTGTAACCTCGCCATTGCTGGTAATTGTTGTTCCCTATATGGCATCTGAAGGGAATGTTACCTCTGTGGTGGCCATATGCAGTGCTTCCCTCCATCCAAACACCTCAAAAATTTAGGTGGCCATATCCTATCCAATTCTATCCCTCCATCTAAATATACCCTAAGTTTTCCAAGTCATAATTTTAAATTATGTTCTCGAATTGGATGACTTGTCTGCAAATCTTCATGCTTACTAGCATTTTTTGTTCGCAGGAGAAAGGGGAGATTGTGACTCGTTTTCCGCGCGCACGCTTTTCAAACTACTAAACGGTGCGTTTTTTTTGCAAAAATTTTCTATAGAAAAGTTGCTTTAAAAAATCATATTAATCCATTTTTGAAGTTTAAAATAGTTAATACTCAATTAATCATGCGCTAATGGCTCACCTCGTTTTACGTATCTTCCCAATCTTTTCAATCCCCTTTCCCTCAAACACAGCATTAATGTTATGCTTATTAGAATTTTGTATGCTCAGTTTGCTTTTGGATAATCATCTTACAAGAACAATGCAGGAATCTCTTGTTGCTCCTAATAGTTTTTTTTAACCAATGATAGTGTTGCTACAGTTGCATTGATTCCTCCTTTTTCAAGTTTTTTGTGCTTATAACTCTGCCGGTTGTTCATTTCTCGTGTATATCAACGTTATAGTTTATAAATTTGAACGGTACCACATTTGAACTGTTAGACTTACCGTATTGGAATTCTTCTCCTCCCTTGAGCTATTATATGATTTGTAAAAAATGATACTTGGAACAAGTAACCCCAAATAATGTCGGTATCGCGAAGGTCACGCCTGGTTACCACCTCTACACCCCTACAGAGGTCGAGGCCGTCATCGCACGATTGTGAAATATACTCTCTCCGTTTCAAAATGTTTGACACCGTTGACTTTTTAGCACATATTTAACCGTTCGTCTTATTAAAAATTTTTGTGAAATATGTAAAACTGACATATGTACATGAAAATATATTTAACAATGAATCAAATGATATGAAAAGAATAAATAATAATTTAAATTTTTTGAATAAGACGAATGGTCAAACACGTACTAAAAAGCGTCAAACATTTTGAAATAAAGAGAGTACCAGATATCTTCATCTTCAAATATCAGATACTGAATGAACATCTTGGAGGGGAGGTCCACGATTTCCAGTTCACATGAGGACAGCTCTATATGAACAGCTTGATAGAAATGTATACCTTTTTACTGTTGTTTTGACATGGTGTTGGTGAGAATTGTGGCCATGTGTTTGTCACCTTATTCGCATGGGTACAAAGTTTCTTATTTTTCTATTCTTTGACATAACCACCCTACCCTCAACTTATGCGTAATTAGCATTGCATCAACTATTCTTCTACTTGCTCTTTTATGAGTATTTTTCATTGTGCTCGCTAGCAAAGAAAAAAAAAGGAAAATTTGTTACCAAAAAAGAGGTGAAACATGTTGGAATAAATGGGTAAGGCCCAATTTATTCTAAATAAATTTCATAGGCCCACAATTAATGTTATGTGGATTAATACCATCT